TTATGTTGCACGATCGAGTCAATTAAGGTAATCGATTGGGTAAGGAAAGTAATAGAGGAATCAATTGACATCGACAGGACAGAGGGTTGCTCGTTGGGTTTAACACTGTATGCCATACTGCCCTTGCCTGTGTTTCCCCGTCTCTCCATGATAGTTAAGTTTCATGCAAGCTGTATGCACGTTCCCAAATTAATGCCAGTCATGACCTCCGGTGGGGACTGGGGAGCAAGAATTTTTTGTGCAAGTGGACCTTTCATAAATTAATATGTATTGAGACAAAATTTCTAATTCATAACATGAGTCATCTTGGCAAAACTAAAAGACCCATTAAATTTAATGGAGAGAACCAAAAGAAGTGTATAATACAACTAACAGGAGGTAGAGCACAGGGTAACTAAAAAAAAATTTGAATTTATAGGGAGAAAATACAAAGAAATCTGGTTTGAATCGTTTGATAGAAAAAGAGAGCAAAGAGGAGGCTGCAAATAATAGTTGATTAGGTTGCTTTAGAATTAACAATAAGGTGATCAACTTTAACCATTTTTGAGTTTCATTAAATCACAAGACAAAACAAACAAAATAGTTAAAAAAGTATAAGATACGACATCACTCAACTCAACTTCTTCACGAGAACAATTCATCTTTTTCCTCATGTCTCACGGTTCTACAACTGCAGACTTGAGGTCACTAGAAATTTTTTACACAATGGTCAAGATGGGCATGAAACAACTCTGGTCCCTTAGTGGCTCCGCCATGATGACCTGATTAGGAGTCCACTATATAAGGGTTATCATCTTGCAATATATTGCGGCCAATTGATCAATATTGAAGACTTGTTATATAATCTGTACTCATATTAATTATTTATAATATGTATCAATCCACGTTCCGAATTAAATATTTATTAAGGGTAGGAGAGGAGGTTCAAAACTATTACAATATTTTAGAGAGGTGGATTGAACTCGGAATGCATGAGTAGAAATCTAACACTCTATCTACCACAATATTGAATCACATGCCTTCTTAATTAAATATTACCGTTGAAGTGTTTGTCATGGGTACTTTCTCTATATGAACACTACGGGAGGAAAGAGCAACACCATTCCAGTTCATGAAATATTTACCGTTGAAGTGTTTTGTCTGATGCAAACACAAAAACCGCCACAAATCTAGGGCACCAAATTAATAGTTGGGTCTTCCACTTCTGACTTTCCTGGGTTTCCATAGCTAATGTACTTCAACATTAACTGGATGTCTTAATCAATTCTTCATTTTATTTTCAGATGAATCTATGTTTTATATTATCTAATTTGTTGTTTATATTTTGAATTTCGTGGGTTTTTATTTTCTTTAATGGAATATATTATCATATAGGCTTAGTTAATCTCATGTTTGTATTACGTACAGACTGAAAAGTTTTCTGTAACTTTGATCACACAACAAACATATGAAATATTGATTAATTAGTAGTAGATAGCATACCCAACAGCAATGACTCTAACTTCATTGCCATAACTATTGGTTGGTCATGTAGTAAAATTTCCTACGTACCATAACATAGAAAAAAAGAAATATCAGGATATTTTAGTTTGATGACTGGAAGGTTGCAACCAAAGTTCATGTTTTACAGTTTTACTTATAAATCACATTCACACTGAAGGTAGGAGGAAACTGCTCGGTACGTAGGAAGAAAAGCCATGTGGCCTGATATACATAACGAAAGTGTTTAAGCAATTACCATACCCTAGTCCTTTGAGGGTTTTTTAGTTTAGAGATACTTTGGATGCAGTCTCTTAATAGTATTCAAAGTTTGATCAAAGTCCCTTGTCTTTGTGTCACATCCCGGCCCGAGGTCCACCACATCCCAGGCCCGCTCCATCACCGTAACACGATATTGTTCGTTTTGGGCCCCGACGACGCCCTCACGGTTTTGTTTATGGGAACTCACACGAGAACTTCCTAGTGGGTCACCCATCATGGGATTGCTCTCGCGCGCTACTCGCTTAACTTCGGAGTTCCCATGGAACTTGAAGCCAGTGAGCTCCCAAAAAGCATCGTGCTAGGTAGGGATGAGAGTATACATATAAGGATCACTCCCCTGGGCGATGTGGGATCTTACACTTTGTACACCTCATAATATTACTATTAATATTTATATTTTTATAATTTTGACATTAATTGTTTGATATTTTATGAGATTTATAATCCTATAAATTTAAAATCCCTCATTATAATACTATTAGAAACGGTTACAATAAAAAAATTCAAACATTTTGATTGAATATGTGACATCCCACATCACCCAGGGGAGTGATCCTTATATGTATATTCCCATCTCTACCTAGCACGAGGCCTTTTGGGAGCTCATTGGCTTCGGGTTCCGTAGGAACTCCGAAGTTAAGCGAGAAGGGGGCTAGAGCAATCCCATGATGGGTGACCCACTGGGAAGTTGCTCGTGAGTTCCCAAAAACAAAACCGTGAGGGAATGGTAAGCCCAAAGCGGACAATATCGTGCTACAGTGGTGGAGCGGGCCCCGGGGCGTGATCCGCCCGGGCCGGGATGTGACAGAATAAATGGATAAAAACTATGTAAAAATAAGCAATAATAAATGGCAAAGAATGTATCCATAGTGTTAAAAAAATTGGTACATTTTACAAAAAAAATGGTACATTTCACATATAACAAAGTGGTACATTAATAAAGAAGAATGGGTACATTATAAATAAATTAGGGTACAGATAAAAGATTAGAAAATTATGAGTACAAATGAATTTTTAAAAAATATAGGCGCTAAAAGAAATTAAGACATGGGTACAAAATAAAACTAAAAAGAAAATACTACAAATTAAAAAAAAAATGTTGCAAATTAAAAGTGGGTACAAACTAAAAATATAAATATATGATACAAAGTTTAGGCATAAAACATAAATATACCATATGTAATTTTTCTATCATTGATTAAATATACAATGTCATGTGACGGTATACACATGGGTACAAACACAAATAAAACTTTAAAAAATATGGGCACAAAAAGAAACTAATATATGGGTACAAATTAAAAATGAAAAGAAAATTGGTACAAATTAAAAAATATTTGCAAATTAAAAATAGGTACAAACTAAAAATAAAAATATATGATAAAAAATTTAGCCATAAATATAAATATACTAATTGTAACATTTTTAACACTAAAGGAATATATTTAAAAATAAAAATATTTTATTATTCAAATAATTAATGATGTTATTAATACCAAGGACCTTGATCAAAAATTGAAAATGAATATGATTTTAATCAATGGAGTAACAAAAAGAAGGATATGAACCTAATTTTCCCTTTAGTTTATCTGGCTCCGATGGCAAGTCTCTTCTTCGTCTTCCTCCACTCTCACTCATGATGTATTTTTGTGTTTTAGAGTTCCATAAGGGAATCGACACCTTCTTTGAACATGAGCAAACAAGAGGAGAAAGAAATATATATGCATCTCAAATGTGGTGCTTGAATGAACTCTTCAAGATCCTTCAATGTAAAGAATCAAAACAACAAAAAGTTTGGCCCATTTTAACCTTCCCGTGTATGAAATGAAACAAGTAGCTAGTTTTGGTGGGGCATATATTTTGGGTTTTTGTTGGATGTTTACTTACAGGTATCTGTTTAAAAATATGAGTTGTAAAGGTCTATTTCTAAAAAACTCTATTTATAAATATCTCTGAGTACAAAATTTCAAAATAATTAATAAGAGATTTTTCAGTAAGCTCGAAATTCAAAGCAGTACACTACTTATCAAAGTTGAAGGACATAAGGAAAATATAGATAGAATACAAGACGTCAAAAGGAAGTTCCAATGCATCAAAGCTGCCCTGCACTAGTGCATGACTAAACAACAAGTGGCAGGCATCTTTCACTTCCTAAGAACATGTTTACTTTTCTAACAGATCATCTTGAAGTCAAAACAGTGATTTAGTTATGAATAGTTCAAATCTTATGCACTCATTTTGTGTGTGCCATTTATGTAGGTTCTACTATTGATTGACACGTGTTAATAAACTTAACTGTTCTTAACTTTGTTGTCATAAACTTAACAGACGTCAATCAAGAATAGAGACTACAGAAAGATCATAAACAGTGCAAAGATTTGATATCGTAATTGTATTAAATACATACAACTATAGTAGTCAAATCCTTAAATACAACTGTTTTGTGACTTAATTGTACGTTAATTTATTAAGTGAATTTAAGTATTTGTGTATTTCTGATTAAATGCCAAATGAAGGTCTAGAATCTCTCAAGGTCTGTTGACTTAAGGTTAAGGTAGGTGTCTTCAAAGAGGCAAGATTTGCCCAATGCCCGGACAAGAGTCAAGATACAGAGCTCCTCGTTGAGCAAATACCATTCTTTTTCTTCTTCCTTTGATTCAGTTACTCTACCTTCGACAACGAAATATATGTAAAATTCTAACATATAAACCCATGTCAGGAAGAGCAAAACCATTCCGGTTCACCAAAAACCCTATTAAATTAGTTATGGCAGTGACAAATAGTAAAGCTACTGCCGTCATGCCAATTCGTTATGACACTGCTTTACTGAACAGGAGCAGTTTTCCAGCTGGGTTCATATTTGGCTCAGCTTCAGCGTCTTACCAAGTCAGTCTTTCTGCATTTAATACGTGCTTTATGTAAAGATTTTAGAGTTTTCCCTTAATGTCAGACCAATTACCATATCCAAGCATGAGGGAAATGCTGACACTTTTGTGTGTAAATTAATTTCAGTAGGAAGGCGCATGGAATGATGGTGGTAGAGGACCAAGCATATGGTATAACTTCACCCACCAGTATCCAGGTACCTACGTACGGGTGCCAAATCAAATGAATAGTGATTTTTCTTAACCTTTGGAGACTGACGAGAAAATATGCCCGCGCGTTTCTGCGGGACTTGAATGTGTTAGTCGCAATAGGCATGAATAGTTTTCACACAAAGCAACTAAAAAGACAGCATCTAAGAATCAATGAACAATTGGAACATCTGACTCATACGTGAGTCTCAATCCCTACTTCAAATCCCTATTGAACAATAGCCCTGTTTCTTCTTCAATTGAATCGACATCATTGATCAAGCAATTAAACATTCCTACTGGCAAATAATTGATCCAAGAGTTGAGCAGATAAAAAAATGTACATAACTAATTAGGAGGAACCAGGTTCTTCCTCTCACGACCAGAATTTCTGAAATTTCCAAAGAAAATAAATCCATTAGCAATTCAGAGAAATTCAAGGACCAAATCTGATTAAATTTTAGACAAATGACCAAAGCTACACCAAATAAATGAGATTAAAAACATTTCGAATCTAAGAAATAGAAGAATGATCATATTAAGACTCCTAATATGACTATATTCAAACATTTTACAGACGAAAGGGCGGGGGAAGGCAGATTATAGCAACGCGAACAAAGTGATAAAGCGAGATTATAAGTTTGACATATATCAAAGTTCAAACGAACCACAGATTATGCATGTATTTAGTAAACAAAAGCAAACAGTGCTGATATTTGTATATCGAAGATATAAAACTGTGTAGTTACCCTCTATTCGATAAAGGTACTCAAAATCAAAAGATAATGGTGAACTGGTGATACAGATGCTAAGATTAGCAATTGGATTAGCTTTTGTTCTACACTTGGGGATGCAGATGCTAAGATGGCTTTGGAAAACAAAGGCAATTAGAGTCGTACCTTTCCAAATCAAGAGAAGCAAATTGGCAAAATTTATCATAAATTAGAGGCATACCATTCTGAAGTGTGGAATCAGAGATAGCAGGAAAACTAGTAGTACCCTGAAATTAATAATAAATTTAACAAATGGATGATGAAAATCAAAACAAAGAAGCCCTAAGAAGCAATTAAGAGGGAAAGAGAGTACGTCTACAATGAAGTTCAGATTAAGAGGGTGTCATTTTAGCTTTTGGATTACTCAGGGCCAGGGTTGTAATCTATATTCATATTAGAGATGAGAGTAGAATTGAAAGCACTTCCCAAATTATACACTGTATTTTCCTTCAACCTAAAAATAGAATTAACCCTTCACATGTTGGGTTCCGAAAACCACATAAGGAGTAAAGTCTAAAATATCAATTTCAATTTAACACTGACCAGATCTCAATAAAAATAAAAGTAAATCAAAAAAGAAAAACGTACACACCATGCCTATGCCCGTACATTTGCTTATGCACATGAAAAAGAATATACATGTGAATAACATTAGACTCTTTGAAACCTTTACCATCCTGACCACTATGAAAAGCTTTGTCACAGCTGCAGTCATAGATTGCAAAACCACGCCTCTTCTTTACTTGGTCTTCTTAATCCTCTCCTTAATTTCATTGCAAAATTCACACATAAATGACCAACCAGGGTCCTTGTGGAACAAAACCCAAAACTGAAGTTCTCATCCTAATCAATTGATTCAATTTTTAACAAATACACATAAATATTAAAGAGCAACATGCCATATTGAACAAAACAAATGATTGATCAACTTAAGGAGTGTGTCTGGAAAGGCTTTGGTAAGGCTAAAAGCGTTTCTAGATACCAAAATTTGAGCAGAAATAACTAGAAGTGTTATTGAATAGAATTAAATTGCAGTATAAATAGACTTCAATATAAACCATTTACCTGAAAACCACAACCATGAATAGAATTAAAGTGCAAGTGAACTAATATTTTGTACAATAAATATATAAGGGATATACATTGCAGATATACATGATGCATAAAGTCTCCCATATTTCCGAAACGAAAACGCTGCAAATCCAAGATATATGGCCAATTAATTGTTCAACTGGTAATGGATTGCTGGATATTCTTAGCTGCCTTTTGTAGTTCTTGTTTGTCATATTCGAACACAACTCAGGAAAAATAAATATAAACACAAAGAGAGAAGAAGATATAAGACAATTACCTATTTAGTGAGTTCTTGGACCTGTTTTAGAGAGTCACCGGAATGAAATGAAGCCAACTCTGCAACAGACAAACAAACTAAAAGTCAAAATCCAGAAATCCAAGTTTAACTCAATCAAATATAATAACCAATGAAGTGAAACTTTGCTTGCCATGTATGGATATGCATGCTATAAGAAACCATTCATTTGTAGATCATATTCCATCATCAGTATTATAGACTCATTGTTTCATGTAATCAGCCTACTACATGGGGGAAAACACAGAAAAGGTAAAGTAGAAAAGTAGAAGACATTTGGCAGAAATAGTTAGTTTTCCCACGAAATCGAGGAAAACTACCTGTGTCTGATTTCATGTCAACACCTCAACTTATATCCCATCCAATTAAACTACTACAACAACATACTGACAAAGTGAAATGGAAATTCATATAACAATACCAAATCAATCAATTTCTAAAGACCAGAAATAGATCCTACAAAGCAGAAACCCTATCTCATACGCATTAAAGCGATTAACAAATTCTCGGTGAATCATTTGATGAAAAAGCCAAAATTTTCTAAGAATGGAGTTCAAAAATTTATAACATCAACCTCGTGGGGACTCGGCTAAAATCTATAAAAAGCCATTAAACTAAACATAGTTAATTCTTCGTACCTTTGTATGAAGATCACACAGGAAAACGTTAGCATTCCTACATGCTATGCTGGAATTTCAGGGGTTAGATTATGGCCACATTTGAGTTTGACATCGAAAGTAAGGCCTCACTGGTGTGCTTCCACACCACATGCTCTGTAAAAGAGACAATCTCAGAATCAGAAACACATAAATAAGAAATATACACACTATAGATATAGCAAGAGAAACTTAAGAAACAAAAAGTTCAATCAAAATGAGTGAAGTGAACCTTTTTCTTTTTTTAACCCAAAGCATTGAAAGTAGCAGAAACCATTATTTTGTCCTCTTTCTCCCCTCTTCCCGTGTCGTCCCTCACTGTTTTTCACCCTTTGAAACGATAATTGATAAGGAAATCCCATAGATTCAGAAATCTAACCCCAAAAACTGTAATCCAGAACCTTCATGAATCACTTCCACAGAACCACACCGATCATAGTAATTTACTGATCAATTATACCAGTGCATTCATCAAATAAGCATTTCCAAATTACACACTTAGCAGATAACATAACCTATGGCACAAATTCACACGGATAGAGAAAATCAAGTTCCACAACCTAGGAAAACAAAGTGGCAACTGAGAGACCATTTGAGGGATTTGAGATTGAGCTTCTTCAATAAACAACATACCTAGAACTCCCCAAGTTTTCAAATGGAAATTAAACATTTAAAAAGCTTATATTAATTTAACAAATTCTTTATTAGTGGAGTAAATAATTTGTAACCACCTATTTCCTGGTAGGAAAAAAAATCAATTTTAAAAAAGAAACGTACTTTTTAGTTCAATTTCCACAGCCATAGTAATTTATGTGGACTAAAATTAAGATTAACCAATACATCCAATCAACTGCAACTAAACAACTTATAGTAATTTAATCTGTGTTTGTGGATATGAGAGAGAGAGAGAGAGAGAGAGAGAGAGAGAGAGAGAGAAAGAGAGTAATCTATTATAAAGCCAACCTTCTTTGAATTCACTTCTTGGTCCACTTGTGGCTTATTACCAAAACTCTCCACTGCATTTGCAGTAATGCCCTCTGCTTCTCCTCCTGTGATAATTATCATTCCGTAAGTAACATAAGATGAACCAACATTTGAAAAGTATAAGCAGATGGACCAACAGAGATAGAAAACACCTAAATTTACAGCAAGATGAAAGCTTAACGAAAAAAAAAACTGGGTAAAAAATACCTAAATTTACAGAGATATGCAAAAATAGGGTGCAAACATAATGTGCCTCTTTTTTAATGTGGGTCAGTGAGGGTAAGAGAGTGCCCTCGGTGTTCTCACTCTCAGTGCGACCTTGCTTGACAGAGATATGACCTTACTACCAGAATGGAAAGAAGCCGGTAAAACAGCATTGGTACTTACATTGGATATATGCAACCTGCTCTGGGAGCCATGTATCCAAAGTGACAGATCTCACCTACAAAAGCATCCAAATCATCAGAATAATGCAGGAAAAAATAGAACCGAAACTCATTAGCATAACGCATAAAATATGAAATTGAGTACCATACAAATTAAAAAACGAATTTGAAGTTTTTGAGTAACCGAAAATTATACCTTTGATATATGCACCCCAAGACTCCTGTGGATCCCTGAACATTGCATGCATATGAAGATACCAAGATTCACGCTAGCCAATTGTGGAGCTCTGCACCAAAAAATGGAAACACTACAACAAATTTGAGGTTACCCAGACAACATGAAGTATGAAAATATATAGGATGTTGTTTAAATTGAAAATATATGTAGTATTGCTGCAATGACATATCTGCAAATCAAAGTAATATTACAATATACATATAAATATATATATATATATATATATATATATATTTTCACCCATCTTACATAAAAATAAAACTCTGTAAAAAATTTTAATTTATAAAAGAAAAATTGAAAGCTAAAATTATATTTAAGACCTAATATCAATTGGCAACTGTTAATTGACTACTCTCTTTGATGACATGCTTCAACTGAAACAAAGGTCCTAGGCAATTACATCTTTTATATGCATCCCTCTGTTTCTCCAAAGATCAGTGACGAAAAGCTTTCATCGTCCTTTGTAGATCTGTAACAGAAACAAACAATGAGAAACATGTCATTCAATTCTTGCTTGTTACTAAGACACTTAATGAGGATGGAATTAGAAGTATTTCATTGCATTTCTCGATTGTCATTCCAATATGGATGTTAATTGGACTCTATTAATATTGAACCTATCAGATGAGAAATTAAACAGAAGAAAAGTCAAAAGTTTCTTAACTGAACATGCTCATGAAGGGGTAATAGGTTGCTGATACAAAGAAAAAAAGGCAGATTTTATCTACACATCACCATAAGAAAGAATACGATCACAAAGTACTTTTTTTCTTGGCAACTTCGTGGAACAGAAAGAAGCAGGATACATAAGGGGCAAACCAATCTTCTTACTTGTACATCAAAGCAAAAGAACAACCATTATATTAGTATGCCATTATCATCTGGGGAACAAATCCAATTGGCAGCTTTTACATACCTACAATTATAAGCAAAGTTTGGAATTCACAAAAAATACAGGGCAAATACTAAGGCTGCCATTTGAAAAAGCTAAACAACAACAAACTTTGACAAATTAAGTACAACTAAATTCAGATGACATCCGATATATGAAGACATTCTGAGAAATCAAAGGCTCTGAAATCAATACCATATTTCATGTGCCTTTTACTGATAGTGAACCCAGCAGCAGAACCAGGATAAAAATTATATTAAATCACAAATTTGAAGCAGATTTTGACATGCAATAAGTCAATAAGATAGGAATCGCTTCAGACTAACCTCGATGGCAGGGCCTCCGGAATCGCCCGATCCGAACCAAGCTCCTAGGTTATAGGGAGATGCCGTTGATGTGAAGTTCAACACGCAAACCTTTGACGCAGCTGTGGCGCCTGGTGGTGGCGGGGGTTCCACACTGGGAGAGACTCCGGAAGAGGAATCTAGTTTTCTGGTTCAGAGAAAAGGGAATCAAGGAAAATAGTGGAGAAGAGGGAAAAGGCTGTTGAAATCATGCGGTGGTTATTAATAATTCGATTATTAATTAAGTATTGGTTAACGTTCTTATTTTTATTAACCACCCATCACATAACTTGTAAATATGATTTAAAAAATTAATCTAACTAGTATTACTCATTTTTTATAATATCTTTTCTTAATCTACGTAGGCAGATGTCGGGATTTTGCAGAATCTTGGATTTGATGCTTACATGTTCTCTATCTCATGATCCAGATTGTCACCAAGTAAGTTGATCATCCCCATTTGATATTTGGTTGGGAGCAATGGTCTGTACACAACAATTCTTAGATATAACCAATAATATATATGGTTTAGCCTGATTTGAATCGAATGTATTTTCTTATTTGCTTTTTTTGTTCTAATTATAATTAGATGGAAAGCTAAGTGGGGGCGTGAACAAGGAAGGAATACGATACTACAACAATCCCATTAATGAACTTCTAAAAAGAGGTGATGCATTGCTTAATCTCATCAAGTCCATCTTCAAATTTTTTTTTTTTCGGGGAAAAATCGACGACGAAAATTTATTGATAACGAAAAAATAAGTTACATCTAGTCAGGAATGACATAAATCTTACCCCCCTTAAAAAACAAAAACAAAAAAAAAGAATACACGAAAAAAAAAAAAAAAAAAAGGGGGACATAAACTTTACTCTTCTAGAAACAAAAAACGAGAATGAAATAAAGAAAAAAGGGGGGGATATGAAACCTAACCCCTCTAAAACCAAACCTAAAGGTTTAAACCTGCAAAACAAGTCAAATAACCCCATAAAGTTACGAGAAAAAAAAAAGAAAGTAAGACAAACCGGAATGCCAACATGTATATTAATTTGAGAAGCGGTAACCAGACAAGCCACCATAGTCTGAAAACGATTATAGAAACCCAGAAAACGAAAAAATGAAGGAACAATTCAAAGCATATACATATCCCATGAATTACATCTTCTTAGGATCAGACCAAATTAGATAATTAAAAAGGAGAAAGTGCATCGAGACTAAGGCATGTAGCAAGAAAAAAACGAAAACCAAATATGGTATGTGGAAAGGAAAAAACCAAACAAAAAAATTGAAGCCGGGGAGGATCAGTATAACGTGATACCAATTTCCTCCCCCTTCAATTTTTTTTTTCTTCTCGCAATATATAACACCAAATTATATATTTTACAAAATGTACGTTTCGGCACAAAATGTCTTATAATTCAAGTTTAATCACTCAAAATATAACGATATAAAACCTAATTAAACTATATGATTTAAATCTAAAGAAATGAGAGTTCATGCCACCACTGCACTGTGTCACGTACATTTTTGCAAAGAACACAGGAAACCAAAGCCTCTTATCATTATATGTCGATTGAAGCCTTATGGGATCATATGTCATCTCACCATGATCCACTACCAACATTATTGATATTATTCCAACTTATACAAGATTTTAGATTTTATCTCAAAATGCACCGATAATATTTATAGTAGAATCTCCCATATATTAGTTATAATTATTTTATTATATGACCGATGTGTAATTCTTTTTCCAACACACCCCTCACAAGGGCCCCCACATGGGGTCATCTTTCAAGAGTCGGTATTTTCAGTCACTAGATTGGGCCCATTAGATTGGGCCAATTATTAGTCGTAATCAAGCCCGGTAGATTGGGCCCAGGATGTGTGAGAAGAATAATTTGCTCTTATATCATGATAAACTTTTTAGGTCCATCACCAACATTACTAGTATTGTCCATCTATTACTATGTGTTGGATTTTATATAAATAAATAAAAGATCTCAGTAATATTATGAGTGAAATCTCCGACGTATTAATTATATATTATTTTTTCAAATAAGTAATGACCAATATGCAATTTTATTGTCCAATGTTGCATGTTATATAATCGAACGTGTTGCTTTTATTACTCATGCTTAGGTCTAAAGCCATTTTTCACAATCCTTCATTGGGATCTTCCTCAAGCTTTAGAAGATGAATATGGCGGTTTCCAAAGCCCTCAAATTGTGTAAGTGATCGACTTTTATCCTCTACACAATGATCCTTTATGTTTATTTTTTTTATGACTGATCGTTTAATTAAGTGTAACTGATTTTTCAAAATCAGCATGCAATTGATTTCTCAAATTTCCATGATGTAGCAATCATTTTCGAGACTTTGCAGAACTTTGCCATAAGGCATTTGGTGATCGGGTAGCACTGGATCACACAAAATGAGGCATGGACCTATATTGTTAATGGCTATGCATCAGGAGGATTTGCACCCGGGCGATGTTCTGCTTCAACTGCACCAGCGGAGATTCTGCTATTGAACCCTATTTAGTGGCACACCACTTCCTCCTTGCTCATGCACATGCTGTGAAAGTGTGCAAGGATAAATATCAGGTAGTGTTGATTTCTTTTTTCTAGGGTCATAATATTCGTTCATGTTTGATAAATATACATAACACACTAATTTTCAATTTTAATACATGAATGGTGATGTGCAGGCACTCCAAAAAGGCGCGATAGGAATTACACTAGGAACACATTGGTTTCTTCCAGTTTCTAACGCAAAGCACCATCAAATTGCTGCATTAAGATCTTTGGATTTTATGTTTGGATGGCAAGTATCTTAATATTTATACATCAGCTTACTTTAGTATTTATTTTGTAGTATACGATTCAATTATTAGCAATACTTTATTTGTATAATAGTAAATTCCTTCTGGAAATTTCTCTGTCTAAATATGTAGGTTTATGGAGCCAATGACAAGCGGCCAATATCCGCGCTGTATGTGAGCTCTTGTTGGAGAACGATTACCTACATTTACAGAAGAACAATCCAAGTTGATAAAGGGATCATTTGATTTTGTTGGAATAAATTATTATACTACTCACTATTCAAGATATCAACCTCGTAATAATTCTGTAAATGCAAGCTACTTGACAGATGCTTGTGTTTTTGAATCAAGTGAGTACAAATTAAGAAACTAATTACTTTGAGTCATTTATGTTTAATAAAATATTTAAATTCTCATAACCCTAAATGTTGTGGCAGCCGAGCTTAATGGAGTTCCCCTTGGTTCTCCGGTACACATCGAACAAGTAGCTAAACTATTTGCATTCAAATGGTAATTGTTTTTCATTTAGTTAGCTAACTTACCATCAAATATTGGGGTTGTAGGCTGCTTCAAGCTGGTTAGTTGTTTACTCAAAAGGAATTCGAGACTTTTTACTCTACACTAAGAAGAAATATAATGATCCACTCATTTACATTACTGAGACAGTAATTATTTTTAAACCTTAATTAACTAAATAATTAATGCTTCACATGTATACGGTGTAAAATTCTTCTATAAAGTGATCTACATATAAAACTAGATGATAACATTATATTGCAGGCGAGTAAGTTTTTGTTCTTTTCGAAATGATAATGGTTTTACTAACATCTTAAGAAAATGTACAAACTTTAAAAAGGGCATCTTGAATTAAATATGATGGATCTTTAAACATAAAGAACTCCAAAAAAAAAAGATCAACTTAGCCAATCTAATAGCCACCATATGGGCGAATCTTTGCGCGTGGCAAGCACGGTAGGTAGAACATATTCAACACTCTAAAGTCAAAAGAACTTCAATCCTGACAACTAAAACCCCAATTACTTAGTTCGCCACATGAGGGACTCTACACACACAATTACCAACAAAACTGATAAAAAAAGACTCTTTGCATACAAGCATGAAGCAATGCCGATTTCGAAAAGAAACAAATAGTGACAGACTCCATGCACAAAACCACTAATGAAGCTCTAATTGCATCAAGATAAACCACACTAACCCCACATGACATGAACAAAAGACTCAAGCCCCAAAAAAAAAAAAAAAAAAAAAATTACGGACAAAAGCCGCACCATAATCCAGAAAACCCACATCACAAAAATCCAGCATCATCTCTTGCCAAACCTACATTACCCAAAATAACCTAAAAGGGAGGATTTTGGGAGAAGGATTTGATTGAAAAAGAGAGAAAAAAATTAGCGATGGAGAACTCCAATATAAGCAAGGTTAGACAAAGACTTAGTCACCACAAAGGGTACAATAGAGTTGGAAAAAAAAGGGAGCAGATTGGAACGGTAGAGAGGAGGAAAAGCAGAAGTGCTTTTCCTTCCTCCTCTTCTTCCTACGACGACTTTTGCTCTAGATTTTTCACTGGAGGTTAAGGTTTCTTCAAACTTAGAATTTGGATCAAGTAATTAATTTCGCAATTAATATTCAAGTTAATTACGTATGCAATTAATTTCGCATCCTATTTATGCAGGGATGGTGTAAATGTGAAGGGATATTTCTCATGGTCATTGCTAGACAATTTAGAATGGACGTCTGGATACACTACGATTCGGCATCAACTACGTGAATTACAATGATAGGCTTAAGAAGCCCCCAAAACTTTCAGCGCACTGGTTCAAATATTTCCTTGGACAGTAGTAAAGAAATCCTATTTCAGTTATGGTTCATAACATAAATATTTGATGTAGATCATTTCACTGTTTTCATAATTGTATTCGTTTAATAATATAAAGAGTTGTTTTATTTACACTCTACATATCATTGAACACACCATTGCTTACTGCATACGTCCCATATTTCTTTTTCAATTAAAGTTTATCTTACTAACCCACAAACTTTTTTTTATACCATTCTCATATCCCACACGTTCTACTTACACTTTACGACCTCCATAGACACCCCACATCAATCTCGCGTATTCCTTATTCCTCCAACACCCAAATACGAATAAATTCTCCTCTTCTTTCACTGTATTCAAATCAAGTTCCCCCAAAACTTATTCATATGCATATTGTGCTTGTGTATATAGTGTTGCTGAGTGAGGAACTCATTGTCAGACACTAAGGAACTTGCTTTTAGGGAATTGGCTCAGAACTGGGGGTAATTTCAGGATTCTACTTTTTCCCGATACGTTTGCCGAAGTTCTTTATGGATG